ATGTTAAATCTGACGTGATTGTTTCCAATAAACTTCTATAAACTATAACTTGATTACCTCTCAGCCATGTTAAATCTGACGTGATGTATTCCAATAAACTATAACTGGATTACCTCTCAGCCATGTTAAATCTGACGTGATGTATTCCACTAAACTATAACTTGATTACCTCTGATCCATGTTAATTTAACGTCTTTCTTTCCTTTCTTACCTTTTACGAACTTCTTAACGCCATCTTTACCTAATATTCTAAACTATTATTCTATTATATTTAATACTGTAATCGCTTCCTGGGATGTTTTTTTCAAATATGAAACAATAAAAGTAATATTAGGTCTTATACTTACAACATTCTATTTATATATTTATAAACTTGTTAAATGAAAGTAATCAATCAAATCTTACTATGATTAATGTGTGTGATTGTCATTACTTGGTTAACATTTGTAGTGACTTTATATTTTTAACTATTATACATGTATATCTTGAGTTTAAGACACTTCGATAACGATTTCGAGAAAACCATGTTTAGTTATCAGACTCGTTATTCCCTAAACATTTCAGGTAAGCCAACACCTTCGGTGACCTGGTGGAGGAATGATGAACTAATAAACGATGACTACACAGAAACGACTCCAGGTGTCGTTCGTAATGTTCTCGTTATTCCTAGTCTGAAGCGAGATGATTTATTGAGCAGGTTGACCTGTGCTGCGAATAATACAAACATAACCAGCCCAATTAACACCACCGTCATTATCGACTTAAATTGTGAGTACGTTAAGATGAAACACGTTTTGGAGATCGTAGAACGACTTACTTAAAGTTTGTGAAAGGTGTACTGATATCTGAGTGCTATTAATTGCAGGAATTTCTACAAACTATTCGTATTAAAGTTGAAAACACTTTGATTTTCTCAAAAGAATAGAAGTTAAGTACGAAACAACCAAATAAATGAAATTTACATTCCAGGGTTAACGAACGGAATTTTTGAATTAGTAAATGTCAGATGATTGTAATCTTTGAAAGCAGAGTGTTTGTTTGTTTTATTACAATTTACAGCTTTTACAGTAAGGAGGATTAGTTTTTTTAGAACCGGCTCGACTTTTCGATCACTGGTGCGATCATTTACGTGAATAAGTAACTACAATCAATTCTAGAATATAAATACATTGTTGGAGTTTGAATGTTGATTTAAATACTACAAACAATTATAGAATATAAATACATTGTTGGAGTTTGAATGTTGATTTAAATACTACAATCAATTCAAGAATATAAATACATTGTTGGAGTTTGAATGTTGATTTAAATACTACAATCAATTCAAGAATATAAGTACATTGTTGGATTTTGAATGTTCATTTAAATACTACAA